TAATGAAGAAAAATCATGTGATCATATCAATCAATGTCAAAAAAGCATTCAACAAAGTTCAATACCCATTCATGATAAAAACTCTCATGAACGTCGGCATAGAGAGAACTTCTTAAATGAAGAGCATCTACCAAAAGCCTACAGCTTTCTCTCTAAGATCAGGAACAAGGCAAGGACATTCACTTTCATCATTTCTGTTCAACATAGTGCTGGGCGTTCTAGCCTGTGCAATAAGGCAAGAAAAGGGAATAAAAGGCATACGGATTGGGAAGGAAGAAGTCAAACTGTTCCTATTTACAGGGGACGTGATTGTAGAGAATCTCGGATTCCGTAACAAAACAAAACAAAGTGAGAACACCCCTAGAACAAATAAAATGAATTCAGCAAGGTTGTGGGACATATGATGTACGTGTGAAAAGTTATCTGTAATTCTAAGTACTAACGATGAGTATGTGGACACCAAAATTTAAGTTAAAAAGCACAAAACTTACACCTGCTCAGAAAAACTCAACACTTAAGCGTGAGTCTAACAAAACATATGTAGGACTTGTGTGCTGAAACTACAAAACACTGATGAAAGAAATCACTGAGGTTCTGAATAAGTGGAGGAGCATGCAAACATGGCTTGGAAGACTCAGCATAATAAAGATGCCAATTTCCCCCAAACGGTCATTTCTATCCACACCCTAGCAAGAATTCCTATAGACAGAGACAAGATTATTCTGAAATTTATATGGAAAAATCAAAGGAGCTAGAATAGTTAAAACAATTTTGAAAAAAGAATAAAATGGGAGAAACTGGTCTACTGGGTTTAAAGATTTATTATTCAGTTACAGTAGTTAACTGAGGTGGATGGATGGACAGACAGAGATTAACGGAATGGAATAGAGAACCCACAAATAGATTACAGAAATATGCCCAATTGATTGTTTTCACTAATTAATTTAAATTGTGGTAAAATACACACAACATAAAAATGATCATTTTAACCATTTGGAAGTTTAAATTTCAGGAGTAATTAGTGCATCACAATGTTGTACATCCATCACCACTATCTGTTTTTAGAACTTTTTCAGCACTCCAAAAGGAAACCCCATACTCATTAAGTATGCACGCCCCCTTCCGCTTCCCCCACGTCCCAGAAATCTGCTTTCTGTCTCTAAGGCTCTGCCTATTGCGGGTACTTCACGTAAATAAAATCACACACTAAAGGCCTTTTCCGTCTGGCTTACCTCACTTGGTGTCGCGTTTTCCAGGCTCATGCACGTTGTTGCATGATGGACCTCACTTCATCCATTCTTCTGTCGAGGGACATCGGGCTGTTCCCACCCTTTGGCTGCTGTGAATAGCGCTGCCATAAACATTCGTGCACCACTTCTTGTTTGAGTACCTGTCTTCAGTTCCTCTGGGTGCACACCTGGGAGTGGCATTGCTGGGTCACACGGAAACTGCGTTTACCTCACTGAGGAGACGCCAAGCGTTCTCCCAGCGTGGCTGCTCCACTTTACACCAGTCCCACCACCAGAGCGTGAGGGTCCCCGCTTCCCTGCATCTCCGCTGAGCTGACGCTTGTCATTGCCTGTGTTTTGCTAATAGCCGTCCTAGTGGGTGCGAAGTGGTACCTCACTTGCTGATATTTGGCATTTTCCTAATGATTAATGATGTTGAGCATCTTTTCTTGGGGAAACTGCGGTCTGGAGAGGGTCACACACCCAGCTGGAGGACAAGAGGTGCTAAAGTCTGCTGTA